AAAAAAAAAAAACTCTCCTGGTACTTTTCGATACATAGCAATGTCCAATTTCCATTGTTCCAGTCAATAGTCCAAAACAGAAAATCAAAATGTGGTCACTTGCACAGTGGGGATGAGGACACCTCTCTCTCTGCTGCACTGTGTTTCACCATGTGTTGAAGTTGCTACAGTCCATTGAACTCATTCTTATCCACGTCTCCTTATTTTCAAAGTGAGAGCTGTTGTTCGGGCAGTACATACCAGAGCTTCTTCTAAGCCTCTTCTAAGGACCTATGATGCTGCTTGGCCTGCTGTGTTCATCCAGCCCTGCACCTTATTGTCTCGGATTCTCCAGCATCTGCAGTTCCTACTATCTCTGATTCAATTACATACCAGAGCTAGTTGGTGCCACCTGGCAGTGCCCAGAATCACAAGTCAGGCACTGGGCTCACTACTGGCTCCAAATAAGGGGGGAACTGCCTTTTAAAATAATGTCACGGTCGGGACCTCCTAATGAGCTGGGTTCCTGACCTGGGACGAAAATCAAACACCAGGGTGTGGTCTTCTCATAAGTGTATCTTCGCAGATGCCTCACCCATCCTGCATAGCCACACCAAGATCCCTCCTCCTTACATGATCCCTCACTCCATCCTTTCTTTTTCTTCCCCCTCAATCCACCACCTCTCTCTCTCTCTCACATCCTCACCCCACTACCCGCTCCCTTTCTCCTCACTCCCTTGTTCCATCCTCTCTCCCATTCCCCTTTCTCGTTCACACCATCCTCAACTCTATTTTCCTGCTTTATCCCCAGAACGTGATTCCCTTACTGATCAAAGAGGAGTTGAGTATTATCAGATCTCATCGAATGGCACAGTTGCCTCGATGCACTGAATGGCCTACTTCTGCTCTTACTTCTTAGTGTCTTATGGTCCTGGATGGTGTCAAGCTTCTTGGGTATTGTTAAAGCTGCACACATCCAGGCAGGTGGGGAATATTTCATCACAGTCCTGACTTGTGCCTTTTAGCTGGTGGACAAGCTCTGGGGAGTCAGGAGGTGAGTTACTCACCACAGTATTCCTAGCCTCTGACCTGTTCTCGTAACCACGATTTATATGGCATGTCCAGTTCTGTTCAGTTTCAGTATTGGGTTGGTGATGGCCTAGCAGTACTATCTATCACTAGACTATTATCAAGGGACAACAAGGTGTAGAGCTGGATGAACACAGCAGGCCAAGCAGCACCATAGGAGCAGAAAGGCTGACGTTTCGGGCCTAGACCCTTCATCAGAAAACGTCAGCTTTCCTGCTCCTATGATGCTGCTTGGCCTGCTGTGTTCATCTAGCTCTGCACCTTGTTATCTCCGATTCTCCAGCATCTGCAGTTCCTACTATCTCTAT